TTATAATCACAATGTTAACCACTTATGTTGTAGTATATACATTATCCCTATGCTTCGTTAAATTTTAAATTATAACTTTTGGTTAATGTTAAGTGTATTAATTTATTTTTTATTAATAAATCACAAAAATCAAATAGACAAAGAAAGCAAATGTAAAAACAAACAGAATATGAACGAGAAATAAGACAAGAAAAAAGTAAAAAAACCAATGAATAACCATAATCAATTTATAGATGAAGTGATGAACATCAAATTAAGTCTAGAAAACAACTTTCCAATTTTTATTTTATTACAGAAATCACTCAAGCTCTCCTGCCACCGCCTATCCACGGGATTATGATGCAAGTCTTGGAGTAAGCATTCCTGATGTTTGTGTGCCCCTCTGTTATTAATCAAAATATAAATCAATACCCGCCTCATGAATTCGGTATCCCATCTTTATGAATTGATGTATATTTATAGTTTATTTGATAAATAGTAATATTCTTCTTCTCTCTCGTCGACTCTATGTAGACTGATTCTCGGATCGCCTACCTGATGATGACACCAGCAAGCACATCTTTCAGTGTTCCTTTGCTTTTTTTTTTTGAAGTAGAGAAAATCGAGGGAGAATCGGGGATTTGGACCAAACTGTAAGCGGATGAGATGTGAACCTGAAATCATATGAATAATTCACCATCAGGGATTAAGAAGAATTGAATGTATTGAGAATAATTAACAAGAATGATAGTTTAGCAATTCTGTAATGTTTTAAGAAATTATAAAAAATAAAAACAAAATTAGCATTGCCAGAATTGAAAATAAAAATCCCAAAGCAACGAAAAATATTCTTGAAGTTCATGCTTCATAACTACAATTGTTTTGTTCGAGTATATTGGAGAATTTTTGCTTCGCCATTGAAGGAGAAGTTTTTTACAGGGAGAGAGGGGCGAACGTGGGGCTCGCTGGAGTGGTTTTGCAAGAAAAGAGAGAGAGAAAGGTGATATATATTTTGGTAAGTATATATTTAATTCCAATTAATGATCTCAATTGCATTTAATTAGCCAATAATTTCTTAACAAACGGTTACATAAATCTTAGGTAAAATTGTAATATTTTTTGTTTCATTTAGTAATTGTATAAATAAAAATATAATAGGTATATAAGTGTAATATAAATAATATCTGAAAGTACATGGTGTAATTTCCTCTTTATTAAATGGTGGGGCCCAAATATTAGTTCAATACATTGAACGACCCTTTTGGCCTTTTTTTATTTTTATTTTTTGTTTTCAACTCCTCTGGTGGGCCTTTTCTATTCTTTTTATTCTTTTCATTTAATTTTAATGCAATTTATTGCTTTTTCTTTTGTTTGCATTTATTTAACTATTCTTATATGTATTTAATTCAATTATAAAAAAATATTTTTATAGTTGTATTATTTTTATTTTTGTGCAATCTTGATTTAAGTTATTTTGGTCTTGTAGTGTTCTTTTATTTTAATGCATTTAAAATTTATTATTATAATTTAAAAATATTAAAATGTACTTTTATTGAGAATAGAATATAAATTGAGTAAGTGGGTAATGAATCCCACATATATATTTAAATGAATGTATAAGAATGTAAGTGTATGTTTAAATAAAGAAGGATTTAGTGGAAAGATGATGTGGAGATACTGTGAATGAGAGATAATGTTATATTTTGATTGAATGAATAAATTTTGTGTTAAGATGCAATTGGTCATCTTTTAGAATTACGTGTCCAATTTGTCCACAAAGACAATCTTATTGTTTTATTATTATATTGGTTGACTTCTTACCAAGTCCGGCGTTTGATTGGTTAATATAATTATTAAGTGTTACTTAAATTCTACAGAAATTTCATACAAACTTCTATCATGGAAAAATATTCATAGAAAATTCAGTATTAGACAAGCCTAGCAAGTTATGAAGCTTGACCTTCAAATCGTAATCCTCACATGAAACGATATATAAGGTAGCCTAGCAAGTTATAAGGCTCGTTAGAGCTTAACTACTACAAGGTGTGAGCATATATCTCAATAATAATATTATCTTGGGAATTTAAGATCAAAAAATGGTGAGGGGCGTTTTGGCTCGTGTAGCGAATGGTGATAATGAGGTGGCGCGTGAGATAGGCCGAGTCCTCGAGGGTTCGGGACTCGTTTACATGCTTGGCATGATTGTGTTGTCGATCTCGTTCATGTCTGTTCTCATCTTAGCGTGTGCAGATAGTGGATCCGGTGGCAAGCGTCGGAGGAGATATGGAGGTGTCGCCGGAGGTGGTGGCGGCGGCGGCTGTGGTGGTGGAGGCGGCGGCGGTTGTGGCGGTGGAGGCGGCGGGTGTTGAGGTGGAACTTGTGTTGCTCTTTGGGTTAATTAATTTATTAAGCAAGCATTTATGTATACGTTGTGTGTAATATATAATTACATAGTTATTGAAGGTTGTTCCTTTATCGTTTTATTAATGTCAACTTTGTGTGATTTGAAAGAACATGATATATGTGCTGTGAGCAGTTGTACTTTTGTTATGAACATTCAAGATGTCCCAAGTGTTGTAATATTACACATCATATTAAAAATATAACATGGTTTTATTTTCAGTCCACTATATTTGCCTATTTTCAGCAAAAGTCCATGTTTTAACATATATTAAATTTACTACATTAATTCAAAAAATTCATCAAATAAGGTACAATAATTCTGAGTGGCAAGAGCCAACTTTTGCAGAAGTACTTTTTCATCAGAAAAACCCTAGTCGCCATTCCGTCGTGCCCCCCGGCCCTTTTCTTGTCGGCCGGCCTCTGCGTCCTTGGAGCCGGCCATGACTGAGCCGCGACTGAAGGAACCTTTTTAGCCTCGCTCGGAGATTTTCGGGAGACATGGTCAGAGCTAGGTCGCCGCTCTGTCTATCTCCTAAGCCCGGTCGAGGTCGCTGGTCCATCACGTCCAGTCTCCAGCTCTGAGTGGTCGTCGTTTTGCCGGAGTCCTTAACTCTCGCGCTTTTAAGCCTAGCGCCTATGGTGAAGCTTCTGCGAGGTTGTTTGCAGCCTAGGAGGCCAGGGTATCTTTTTGAACCTTTCGGCATTTTGTGATGGCTCCCCTCCCTCCCCCGATGTTGAAAATCTTTGGAACCCAGAATTGTTCCAAGATTTAACTCCTCGCCAGATCTGTCTAGGCAGTTCGATTTTAGCTACAGTTTTTGGGTTTGCGGTACTAGATTTGCTACTAAATTTGGTTTTTATGATGTACTGTTTAGCTCGATTGGTAGTTAGGGTGGTCGTTTGGTTTGTCGGAGAGGTTTAGGGGATGCCTTATTCTTATAATTTTTGTTGGTGTTCGTTGCCTTTTATTTTGTTATTCTTTGTTTTTTCATTTTGTTAAGTCTAGTGGCGTTTGACACCTAGTCTCCTATATAGAGTTGAAGTCTCCTTTATGAGTTCTGTTTTGTAGTTGTTTAGATCCAAGGGGGTTGGTCCAGGCTTTCTTCTGGTTTCACTGATGTCCGCTGACACCTCTGTTGTACTCTATTGAGTTTTTCAATTATTAATATAATTGTTGTTTGACCAAAAAAAAGAAAAAAAATAAAATCATCAGTGGCAGGATAAAATCCATATTATTTAAATGTATCAATGGTTCAGCGTGGCTGATCACGAGCCAATCACATCCTTAAAATGTATTTTATGCATATAACTTTAGACAGAGCAATTGACTGAACAAAAGAACTCCAAATGGTCTGAAATTTGGAAATATAACGTCTGGACGAGAAGAATTCAACAGTAGATCAAATACTTGAAACTGACCTGAGACGACACTAGAATTAGGCCATAATTATAACAACTCAATTTATTCTGAACAAAAAATTGAGTAGACAAATGGAATATAATTGAGCTACAAATATGTAGTTACGACTATCCTCATAAGATAAATCCAATGGTAAGCCACCCCACTAAACTTACTCTATAAGGCACTAAAATGACCCTAGATAGAGAACAACGAATTTGGGTTAAAATTAATTTGGATGACAAACTGAGCAGACAAAAGCTACAATTGAGATCAGTTTTATTCGATACGACTGGTTCGACAAGAAGAATCTGATGGTGTTTCATCCACATAAATCAGATCGTAGATGGTGTCAAAATTAAACCAGATAAAAAATAACTCAAATTTTTTTTGGATGGAGGATTGAGTGGGCAAATGAACTATTATTGAGCTACACGTTTACGGTACAACTATGTCGACGAGAAGAAACCAACGCTGGGTTACCCACTTGAAATAGACATCGGCATACGTTCATATTTAGCCTAAAAGGAAACAATAAACTTTTTCTGTTATTGGTGATTAGTGTACCTTATTTGATGATTTTTCAATTTATGTACTAAGTGTAATGTCTGCAAAAAATGTGGACCTTTGCTTGAAAGAAGCCAATATAGTAGACTGAAAATGAAATTATGCCCAAAGAGTTATAATAGAGTGAAGTCATTAGCATTATGCATGTATGTATGGTCTAGAGAAGGTTTATTAAAAGTTAACTATAGATAAAAGTAAAAATGAGAAACTTATACCATAAAATAACTTCATATTGACTTGAACGAAATTAAATAAACAGGATCGTAGCATACATCAATTCAATCGATTTCATTGGATGGAACTACTAACAAAAAGAATGTAAGTTGTGGATTTATTGAGAGCATTGTATGAGTTGATAATATATATTTCTAATTACATGCTTTTTTAGGTTTATATCATATGATATGACAAATATGCATTTGTAAATTGGGTGTTGATATTTGTTGACCTAATTATATATCGAGTGGTCAACAACGTTACATTTAATTCAACAGAAATTTCATGCAAACTTCTAACATAGAAAAATCAATGCAGAAAATTCAATAATCAAAATAAGAGGGCTTATATTGGATACTATATCAGGGACCACATGAGGAAAGACAACTAAACAAATAATTCCATGTTATAAAAGCTTTCCTAGCATGTTGTAAGGCTTGGAGCGAGTTTACAAGGTCTCAAAATATTATCTCCAGTCTTAATTATCAAGATTTGAAAATGATGAGGGGAGTTTTAGCTCTTGTAGGGAACGGTGAGAACGAGGCAGTAATTAGTGAGATGGGCCGAATCCTCGAGGGGTCGGGACTCGTGTACATGCTCGGCATGATTGTTTTGTCGATCTCTATCATGTCTGTGCTTATCTTAGCGTGTGTAGATGATGGATTGAGTCGCAAAAATCGGAGGAATATGGATGGAGGTGGCGGCGGCGGCGGTAATGGTGGCGGCGACGGTGATGGAGGAGGCTGTGGTGGTGGCTGTGGCGGTGGCGATGGTGGTGGAGGTGGCGGTGGCTGCGGTGGTGGCGGTGGTGGTGGCTGTGGAGGTGGCGGTGGAGGCGGGTGTTGAGGTGTATTTGGTGATACTTTATATATGAATAAAGTGGTACTGAAATTGAACAATATTTTGTAATAATTATCACAATAAAATCTGATTCTATATATTAATTATAAATCACTGCAATTTCTTATTCTTTTGGTAATTAACCATAGATCGTGACTTTCTACAGCACGTCTTCAAAAAAGTGACCATTAAATAGGTTTTGTATGAAGAAAATATTATTTGAATGTGCATGATTGTAAACGAATCGAGCTGAGCTCGAGCCCTTAACGAGTCGAGCCCAGCTAGGCTCGTAAAATAAAAGAGCCTAAAATCGAGCTCGAGCTTGACTCGTTTATCACTGATAACAAGCCGAACTATAGAAAATTACATAAAATTATCTTTTCGATCCTTATCGAACCAAGCCCAGCCGAGCTCGGCTCGTTAACCAAACGAGCTGTAAATGAGATCAAGCTCGGCTCGTTTGATGAGGCGAACTCGAGCTTTAACAAGCCGAGCTCGAGTCGAGCCGAATCACACTCGTTTAATTTAACAACATTATACATGATAAAATTGGAAATATTATTACAATAAAAGCTAAAACATATTGTGTCGATCTAACATGCAAATTATTAGTTTAGAAAGAAATATCTAAATAGTTATAATATATATTATTACAAATTATAATAATAAGCCAACAGATCATCTGTAGAACTATCCATGTAAATTATCAACTTATAAAATAAATAAAATTTTTGTGATACTTATTATTTTGCATTATAATGATAAACTAACAAGTGATCTATGGAACAACGATGTAAATTGTTAGCTTAAAAAAAATAACAAAAGAAATATAATGTATATTGTTATTAATTATAATGATAAATCAGTCTGTCATATAAATTATTGGATTACAAAGAAAATTTAAGATACTTATAATATCATCAAAAATTATAAAAAAAACAAACAAAACAATATTGATGTATAATTAAAAATTATTAAATTTTTTAACTTCAAAATAATATATATTACGGTCTTTTTTAAGTAATTGTTGATTTTAATATTTGTCACATTTTTTTTTTATTTTTTTTTTGGGCATAACTTATTTTAGAATTTAAGTATTGTAACAACATATGAGTTAGGGAATAGAAAAGGAGAAGTATTCAGTGTGTTTTATTTATTGAAAATGTTTGAATATGCTAAATTGTAATTATTTTAGTTCTAAACAGGAACTCTAAAATGACAACTATTTTATAATGTGTGAGATAAACATATAAATTATATGTTAAATTATTATATACCCTAAATAAAATAAAAAATATTAATATCCATAACTATTTTTATACTAATCAATATCAATTCATGACATTAATATACACAATTTATGGGAAATGCTACGGTCCCGTTACGAAACTATTCCGTCGGACTTTGTAACCGTTAGATAAACTATCTCAAAACGATTACGGGATGATATAATTAATTAGAGAAAATTATGGGCTCATATGCACCGCACGAGTTATGATTGTGAATATGCATCCAATTAAAAACAAACAATGGATATCTACTCATGTTGTCACTTTTCATGCATGGGCCCATTACAGTCGAACGATGATATAATCAAAATTTTGATCCCCTGCTCACGGTGGGCAGTGTTCACCACTTTGTTTTATATGAAAAACGTATTCTGAGAATAAGTTTTTCATTTAATTTTAATTGAAAAACGCATTCTCAGAATACGTTTTTAATATAAAATAAAATGGTGGGCAGTGCCCACCGTGGACAGGTGAGCGAAACTCGATACAATCAGTCATCATCATCCATCATCAGAGCTCATGGTGTTTCTTCATTGTTCTGTACTATTGAGCCGCCCCTGAATAAAGATAATAATAATCCCTGAAAACTGAACTTTTCCTCTTATCAAAAATTAACAAATCCCATATTGTATAAGCTATCTCCATTAACAACCAATTGTGTGCTTTTACGAGCCTTACATTTTGTTCTTCCAGCGAACACACACACACACACAGTGGACTTACTTAGATCAATGGTTGAGGTTGAGGAAAAGGATGAAAATGCCTATCCTCTGCTCGCTGATGTTGCGTCGTCTTCGTCCTCCGATTCTCATGCTTCCTTCAAGAGAACAGGTTTCGATTCAATTATGTTGTTTCT